TTGCTCCTGGCCCCACACCAGCCTCTGGGGGCTCCTCCCTGTGGGGCCAGCCCCGACCCGTCCCCACACATCCACAGGCACCCAGCCCCAGGCTTCTCAGCCTCGAGCTCGGTCTCCGTGGGCTCCGTTCCTGGAGCACAATCCAGTCTTGACCACCAGGGACAGTGGTCTGGGTGGTGTCGGAGGCCTTCCCCCGCTATCCCCAGCACCTGCTCCTGGGGACCCCTGTGGGGTCACGCCCCAGGTTCCAGAAATCGAACGAGTGTTCGCTAGCCTCATCCCATTTCTTCCGTGGTCTGCAAAGAAAGGGATGTGTAGCCGGCCCAGAGACATCACAGCCCTGCCCGGCAAACCTCCCTGTCCCCCTACCCAGTCCCCCTGCTGCTCGCAGATCAGACACACACCTGTGCGTGCACAGCCCTGCACGCGGGACAGTGACCCATCCCCGCAGGGCAATTGGGATAAACCCTGGGCAGAAGCTCACAGCCGCACACACCCCGTCCCACCCAGCCAGCCTTGACCTTGAACACGACCTGCCCACTGGGTATCCGACCCCTCATCAGCCTGCTTTTGAAGGGGCTTGGCCCACCCCACATGACCCCTCTTCGCACACACACACACACACACACGCACACACACGGGTGGGGACCTGGGGCTACTCAGGTGGATTAGACCCTGTGGGGCTGGGTGGCCGGCTCTCGGCCTCCTGGTGTCACCTTTTGGCCTTTCCGGCCCAACAGCCAGAGGCGGTGGGGAGACCTGACAGGACATCCTGTGGAGACAGCATTCGCAGGGCGCGCTTTCTTCAGCCTGCAGCCTCCCGACCTCGGAAGGCACCATGTGAACATCTTGGTTTGAGGATCTGTAACGAAATGAGCTGGGCCGGGGGCCGTCTCTGGAATGTGGGTTCCTGGTTACCTGGGTTCCAAATTCTGATGGGCTCTGTTGTGTTGGGAAGTGAGGTCACCACGGCTGGGGTCCCCTTACCCAACTTCCTCCTCACACAAGAGCCCCACCCCCGAGGGCCCCTCCCCTAGCTGTTCAATGCTCACCCTCCCCCCATGCCCCATCCATACAGTGACACCCTCACAGCGCACCCACAGCCCCCGCAAGGCCTGGGTGCGGCCCTTGTGTGAGGACACAGAGCTGGGTTCAGACTGGGCTCCTGCGCGTGCCCAGGGCTGTGACCATGGAGAGACCCTGTGCCTCTCAGGGCCTCCCCAGGCTCCCCATCTGCACAGTGGGGTGTTCTGGCTTCTACTTCTAGGGACGCCATCAGGGGTAGGACCTCTACACATGTTCCGTACCTGCTATCACAGGAGGCTGGTGCACAGTGGACAATGCAAGGATGAGCCAGGGGCTGGGTGGGGCATGGGGAACAGCTCAGAGGGGCCTGGTCTGCTCTGGGGGTCAGGCAAAGCCACTCCCCTCCTGCCTGTGTCCCAGCCCCTGAGGGAAGTTTGCAATGAATGGATTCTGACCTTGTCCCCTGGTGACGCAGACTTCCAGGGGCTCCCATTAGGGTTAGGCTCAGGCCCCAGGGCCTCGTGTGCACCCACGTGCCGGGCAATCCCCACAGCGGTTCCCGGGCATTCCCGAATCCTGCTCACACATCCCTGTGGAATCCCCTCCCCTCCAGGGTGGATGGCCAGTGTGACCGCGTGCTCAGGAAGAGAATGGAGCAAAATACTGGGACGTCATTTCCAAGCTGATGGATGAAAGTGTGACTTCTCCTGGTTCCCTCTCTCCTGTGTTCATACTCTGTCTCCGTCTCTGTGTTTCTGTCTGTCTGTGTGTCTCTCTTTATTTCTGTGCTTCGGAGAAGCAAGAACAGACAGTATGAGCTGCCCTAGGAGACCCCAGTCCTAAGAACCCACAGAGGGTGCAGGCTGACAGAAAAGTCCTGAGCCCCCATTCTGAACCGAATCCTGCCGATACCACGTGAGCGGTCTTGGCAACAGAGCCTGCCCCGGTCGAGCCTGAGCAGAGGCTGCAGCCCCGGCCTCCTGGGGGACCTGGAGGCAGAGGATCCCCCTGAGCGGAGCCGGGATTCGGGTACAGGAACTGTGAGATACGGAAGGTCTGTTCTTGCAAGCACACTTCAGATCGTGTCTTTGTCAGAACTCTGGGAGAACTTTGGTGTGCACGGTCAGTCCTTAAGCTGTGCAGAGGGCATCTAGGGTGTGGGGACCCTGTCCCTCAGGGATCCGGTATCGTCCACGTTCTAATAAGGAACTATCTAGAAAGAGGCCGTGGCCTCAGGAACTGTGGGTGAGGTTTCTGGCAGCTGGAATGAATCAGGCTTGCCTACACAGAAACCCACAGTGTTTCAAAGAGCGGAGCTCCGAAGGGCCTCCGGGGCGTGCTCTGTGCAGACAGGCCTGCCCCCCAGTGCCTTCCCCACAAGTGTGGAGAGGAAGGGGGGTCTCAGCGGGCAGAGCCAGGGAACAATGGGCCGGGAACACTCATGTCCTGGAGGAACGAGGTCCCCGTGCCGCCTCGGCCAGACCCTGAGCTGCTGTGCGTGTGGCCACTCCGGGCCCGCTCCACCGCTGGTGCTCCCTGGGGCCCCGCTGTCTCTTCCCCCACGGATGCTGAGCATGTGGGGATCCACCTAGGCCTCATGCCGTGTGGTCTCGAGGGGCCTCTGTGGTCACAAGACCCCGGATTCGATCCTACTGCCCCCCATCAGAGGGGACGTGGGGCTCTGGGGTGGGGCACAGCGTGAGGACACCTGGCCTGACTCCCGGGGCAGAGCACGATGCTGCTGCAGACAGGGTTCGGGGGCCAGATGGGCCATGTCTTCCTGCGCCTGCACCCTTGGCCGGGAACGGGTGGTTTTTCCCACCAAGGAAGCAACGTGCATTCCGCAGGCCCTTCTGCACCAGGGGTTTGACCCCTCGACATGCTTCACTTAGCCGCTGAGGCAGAAATGCAGTCCTGTGCTGCGCCCTTCCTCCCAGCCTGCTGTGGCCTCAGCGTGGCCGTGAGACAAGCCGGACGTGGCCGCCCTCGGTGGGAGGGGGACAATGGCAGCAGAGCCGGTCCGAACCAGTCACGGCCAGCCACCCCCCAATGCGGGCACAAGCTGTGGAGACCCCCACCGCCCAGCAGGGCCGGCCTGTACCACCTGACCCCACACCGCCCCAGACGGAAAAGCTAAGTACATTTGTGTCGGTTCCTAGCACAGAGGCCCTGTGGGTGGTCCTTACGTGGCAGTAGCCGACAGATGCCATTCTACTGTGTTCTCCTTGGGTGGCCCTAACCGCACCAGCGAATTGCATCGCCAAGTACATACTGGTGACTGCACGTGTCCGGCTCCCAGGTCTCTCTGTCCTCTGAAATCGAGCCCCCCACGCGGGATCTCCGTTTGGGGGTCCTGGGTTCCAAGCTCAGCCCCCGAGGCTGCCCGGGGCTCCCTCTCCTCAGACGGAACCTCCCTCCACGGCCTGTGCTCTCCTCTCCCCTCACCCTTCCCTCCACTTCCACCCTTCTGGGGTTTTTCAAAAGTGGACTCGTCTTCCGTGGAAGCCCACCCAACTTCCTTATTACCTCTGTGCTTCAGCTCTCTTGCGAATGTCCCTTCCTCCGAGAAGCCCTCCCTGACCCCTCCTGCCCCACCTGGCGTGAGTCAGACCTGCCGTTGTTTGGCACTCTCTCCAGACACATTTCCCCTAGTCTGCGGTCCTGTGCCTGGGCGGCTGCGCTGGTGCAAGCCTGTCCTGGCATCAGATCTCTGAACCCGTATTTGCCAGTTTGCCTCTCCCTGGCAGCTAGCACATGCCTGGCATGTCACAGGTTCTTAGAAATGTTGGGCGAATAAGTGAACGACTCCCTGAGGAAGTGTAGCATGTCAGGGCCCACGGGGACTGGTGGCAGACGCGCTGTGGAGGAGGCATACAGAAGGACGCCATTGGTCCAATAGCCGTGGTCTATTTCCCAGCAGAGAAGTGTGGCAGCCCCTTTCCGCCGTGTCATCTGGAGGGCGTGGGCAGAATGGGCCCGGGCGGGCATCCCCCTGCCTGGTCAACACCTGCCCTCCTACCCGCATCTCTCCAAGATCATAAAGGATCCCTCTTGGGCTACAGCCATGGCCCTGGACGTCACCCCAGCAGTGGCCTGGGGTCATCCAATGCGTCTCAACAGGCCGATGGATGTGCAGACCTGCAGTCTTGAGCGATGTTCCCGGGGTCAAGGGGGACCGCGGGTGGAGCCCCGAGGGGACGGGTGGGTGGACGCTGGCTCTCAGG